CTGCCTGCCTGCCTGCCTGCCTGCCTGCCTGCCTGCCTGCCTGCCTCCCTGCCTGCCTGCCTGCCTGCCTGCCTGCCTGCCTGCCTGCCTGCCTGCCTGCCTGCCTGTGTGCCTGCCTGCCTGCCTGCCTGCCTGCCTGCCTGCCTGCCTGCCTGCCTGCCTGCCTGCCTGCCTGCCTGCCTGCCTGCTTGCTTGCTTGCTTGCTTGGAAACCGCGCGACCGGAACAAAAAACAAAATAAACGGAAAAAATACCGAAAAAATAGCGCCACCAATCATATTGAGGAGCAGCTCTTCCTCTGCAGCACAGGCAGTCATACGAAGCCAAATAGCATTGAAGCAGTGCTCCACAAGTTGGGACTTCAAACACTTTGGGACACAAGAATCCTTCTGGGTGTAAATTCTTGCAATCGGGATCATCGTGGCCTGCTCAATTCGGGGATTTGAAGAACCACCACCGCCGCCGCCACCACCAGCAGTGCGCTCAGGCACGACTTCAACCATAAGCATGAATATATCGACGCTGATGCACCATGAACGTTGCAAGACTGCTACCATTGCAGCCCAAGGCCCTGCCAGGGACCGGGCATCAGCGTTCAACAAAGGCTTGGATTTTGACACATACCAGCATGAACAAGGCCACATCCGCTCAAGACCGAGCGGCCCATCAAGAACGAATCTTCGAAGCCCTTCGCCTCTGCAGCTCGCAGAGCGGAGACCATGGCGTCCTCGGGAAGGCAGAAATCGAGTAGGGTTCAGTCTTAAGTGCCTCTAGCATCTGTATGGTCTGTTCCGAGGCTTGTGGTTGCCTTTGTTCTTTATACTGCCGGCTGTGGTTGTGTTAGGCGATCTGCAGAAGTCGGCTCTTCTGGATTCCCTTTGCCTACTGAGCATGTTCCAACAATCTCAGCCCATCCCCACTCTCCGATGTTTCTGAATGCATGGGCCGCCTCGTCCTTGCTGTTCATGGCCCGGCGAACCTCAACGGCATCCTCCTGCATTTCCGGACAGAAGAATCCTGCTGCGTCCCCCGTCGAAAGGGCGCCTCGTACTGCTTGGAGAAAACCGCCGCCTCCTTCTCGATCTCCTCCTACAAGAAGGCCCCAAGGGCGGAAGTCGGAGGGGGTACTGAGGCTTCAGGATTCAGGCCTTGCAAGGTGCAGGATGCAGCAGTGCTAGGCCCAAGCGGACAAGGCCAAAGGCGAGGGTCTCCAAGCCCAGAAGTCGGAGTTTATTGAGCAGCCGTTCGTCCAGGGACCTCAAAACTTCCTTACAACTTCGCGCGGATCGGGCGCCGAATTGCTGGGTCCTTTCCCGGAACACCCGAGCAGAAGACCAAAAGCCGACGAGACGACTCCGTGCCCGGACACCGGGGCGACAGCTGCAACGTTCGGTACCCAGCAGGATGCGATCCGGCGCAACGAACGACGGTAAAACAACGCGAGGTATGAGTTTCTCAAGGCTGGAGCTTCAGCCTCGCTTGTAGCCCACATGTCAGACAACACGACAGATCCCAGGCGCACTTTTCGGGCCTCCAAGACTCAGGATTTCTGTGTTTCAACCTGACCCGTGACCCTGAACTCCATGCAAACCCCAACACGACCGAGGCCAGGGCCATGCGAATGCCGCATTTCTCTGCCGCAGCCACGGCCTGCGTCAGCTCGTCGAAGTTTTGACCTCCAGGAAGGACTCTCTCGAGTCAAGCCTGTTGAGGCCTCTAGGACTGGTGAACGTCCAGGGCTCGGTCTGTTGGGCTTGTGGCCTCAGGATCTTTGTAGGTTTGGGGTCGAAGGGAGTGAAACACATTGAAACACTTCGTGCCTGCGAGCCTCAGAAAGCAAAAAAGGTTCAGATGTCTGGGTTCGGGGTTCCGGGCCTGGACAGGATCTTTTCTTGCGGGCAAGGAAAAAAGCCGGCTTAGTACCATTGAGAGCCTGAGATCTTCCTTTACAGTCTCTGGCTTCATGAATCCGGTGCTCCTGCAGGCCTTCCATGACATAAGCCCCGTAAAGCACTACTTCTAACTCAACAGAGTGGAGTGCAGAGGAGTGGAGTGGACCAGGACAGAGTCCGGTTCAATTCCACGGGCTTGCGGGTGTAGGTCTGTGCAGGAAATGACTCTGCTTGCCGATGGGACCCCTTTACTGGCCCCCTGGGACGTGGTGACGTCGACCACACTCAGGCGCTGACACCAATGAAATCTGGAACACACTTTGACTGTGGCGAGTATGGACGTCGATATGTATGTCACTACCCAAGATACACAGGAGCAATGCAGTGCTCCCAACTGCGACTCTGCTGGGACCAGGGATTCAATAGCATGAGGACACTTCAGGGTCTGTCCTCACTCACTCAAACACAAACAGTGATAGGATCAGCGCCTTTTGGGGCTTGCGGCTATTGACACGTATCATGTCTAGATTACGGCATGCTCCTCCAAGCTTTCCAAGATCTTGATGCCTACACGGCGCGGCCGCCTTGCTGTGCCTTCGCGAGCTGCTTGCCCGCTTCTTGGCACAGCCGTTTCCTATGTGCCTGGCGATGCGACGTGAGATTGCATCTGCCTGCCTAAGACTAGGAAAGCGGGTTATAGGGTATCGTGCTCTAGGTGGAAGTCGCATTCGGCGGAAGTACCAATTTTTTCAATAGACTGCAGACTTGATAAGGCAAAGCTGGCCATGGCACCAGCAAAAAATCATGGAATGTTCATTCGGGCCTCCGGGTCCGCACTCATGCTTCCGGCCTGCGCGCGATTATTTTGACACCCAAACTACTTCTGACTGTGCTAAACACAATACTCACCTCTGATTACTAGGAAGCAGACAAGTCAGCCAAAGTAACGACAATGACCATAACAAGCACAGGCTCCTGCGCTGTCTGTCTTTGTATGTCTAAAGTCTGCCTCGCGCGACATTTCAAGCTTGTCACAAGCTTGGGTTCGGGCACCTTAAACCCCAAAGGCCTTAAAGCTGCCGGGGCACAGGCAACTGTCACAGACCAGTCTGAGCTCGCAATCGCGTCATTTCGTGGTTCCTAACGATAAGTTTAAGGTATCGGATTTAGGAGTTGGGGCTGCTGGAGCACACCAGCACGGAGCCGTGTAGATACCGTCCAAGGGATGTCGATACACATGGTTGCTGGTGAAAACTGCGCTTGGCTTGAGCATTCAACTTCTACATTTGGCATGACATGAAGCCTACAATCTATATGATGCAACATGCCCGCACATGCTTGCAAACGGATGGACAGGGAACCCTCGAGGTCCCCCGCTGCAAGTTTCCCAAGTTGTCCCTTTCGCACACAACATGTTTCGAAACTAACAGCAAGCATGGAATGCCTGGCTCATTTTCCGCAAGTCTCCTTTTTCGGCTTGCTGACCGTGTCTAGCTGAAGATGTGCTTATGTAAAAATGTCCGATGAAGCAGCGCAGTACATTGCATCAAACTTCTCGTGCAGACTGCTATACTCCTTGCTGCGGAAACACAATCCCATTGTTCCGTGTCATACTCTTGATGCTACATATAAACGGCAAAATTAATCCGCACATGTAACCTTATGAGTGTGGCTGCCGTGGAGACGATATGGAATCCTGAATTAATAAAAACTCATTCCAAAGCTAAAATAAAGCTAACCCAGCTGATTCTCCTAAAATAAAGCAAAAAAAAACTAGTAGAAAGCTAGCCGACGATTCCGGCGAACCTGGCAAAGCTAGAAAAAACTAAACAAAAAGCTGACAAGCTAACCGACAATTTATGCAACCCTGGCAAAACTAGAGAAACGCAAAAATAAAGCTAACAATAAGCGAGCCGAAAACCACCTGGCAAATCTAGTAAAAACCAAGGAAAAAACAACGCTAACTGACAATCCCTGTAAAGCTGGCAAAGCCAAAGAAAGGTGCTTCCAAACAGTTCTGTAAGCCTGGCAAAGCATTATTTTTTGGCGTATGCGGGTCTCAGTGACAGCGGTTGCTGCTCGGTCCCAGTAAGAAAGCTCAGAAATCAAGAATGACAATCTTCAAGAAAACTATACAAGGGTGAAAGCTTCAAAGAGCTAACTGAAAAAAGGCCGGCAAAAACCGCAGGTTCGAAACTACGTCATCTACTCTTGTCGGCACCGGCAGAACTGCACAAGCCTCTTCGCGAGCCAACCCTCCAAACTGGACAAGGAAGGCAACAAACTGCTTAGCGACAAACAGAGGTGGAAGAGAACCGTCGTCCAGCAACTACCCGAAGAAGTGGTGGGGTTCCAAAGATCCTCGGCCGACAACGAGCGACCGCAAACTTCGTTTCAGCGTTGTCGTGCACACCAACATGCCAAGTAGCAGCAACCAAGCAACGCAGAGTCTAAACTGTTTTCGAACTCTGCGGTACCCATCAAGTGCATCCTCTAACAGATGTTTTTTTTTTAAACGCCAGGGTCAGGTCTTGGCTCATGCATCCAAACTGGCTTGGACAGCTCAGCTTTCACCGGGAAGACTTCAAGATGAAAAATAAGTCAGATGCAGATCTGCGGCTTCCCTTCTTGCATTGGAATGCGAGATGCGACAGGACTTGCTCAGCGCGCGATGTTGTGCAAACGGGACAAACTTGCGGAGTCACGCGCAGGCACATGTTGTCGTGTAAATTCGAAATGCCTTGCACTTTCTCCATTTTGCATTACTCGGATGATTGTCCACAGACAGATCCCAAAAAATGCACTTTCTCTATGTATTCAGACCGATTCAGACCTGATACAGCCCAGAAGTGCACTTGTTAGTTCAGGCATTCCTGGAGTCTTGGCTCCGGTTGGCTTTCCATGACATGCCAACACACGACATGGCTGTTTCGTGATTTCAGAGTGTGGTAATCCGTGTCGGATTTCCTCCGACTCTGAGGATCCCATTGAGGTTATATTAGATTTCCAAGCATATGCTGCGGCTTTGCAAGACCATCTAATATCTCTACAAAGCAGTATTTCTGTTTCATTATTCGAGCTGAAGG